CTCTCATTGCTACTATTATTGTTTTCCTTTATTATGCTATGGAACCCACTATTGGATTATTATCAGCATAAGTATTATATCATCATTAGAGATCAAGTATTATCATTAGCATGCACATCGCAGTGCATATTAACAATACATTTCAGAAATTTACATGAATTAAAATTTAACGTTGCTCATATTACTACAATCTTTATTATCTAATTCTCATAATATTACTACTACCTCATTCCATCTCTGTTCATTGTTATCTTCTTATTTATTACCTTTCTGCCTTTCTAGCTTTGCCTCGTGTGCTCGGCATTCTAACATTCCCTGTACCAAAGAGTCCACTGCGTTGACATAATAAAACCATTATTATTATCATATATATTCATTTTTATTATCATTTATATATTCATTTATATATTCATTATTATTATCATATATTCTACCACTTATATTTTTATTCGTATCTCTTCTTATCAACGACTCACGAACGGACCGCCTCTTTATGGAAACAATTGCGCTCGAATTTCGTTGTTCGGAGCTGTGACGGCCGACTTCGGGCGGCTCGGCACGAAAAACTAGTCTGTCATGAACGGATTCCAAGCACTTCTGACGTTCCTCGGCGTTCTCGTGCTGACGGACGGGGACCTGATCGCGAAGTACCGCGGCGCCAGAAACGTATACCATGGTAGGTAAGTGCATTCGCTGGCTGGTGCAGTTGTCGACCTATCTTCTCGCTAAATCCCACGACCGACAACTTCATCCGTGGCCGTGTCACCTTCTCGATTCGATCGCGCCTCGATCCGGGGATCTCTTCGTCTCCGATCAAGCCTTCCTGTCCACCGGCGTCGCCGTCTCAATGGCACGATCATCGAAATTCAAGCGCAACAAATTCCCGGAGCGGCGCCGCTTTTATTTTCGAATTACGACCGCGGGATAAGGGCCCGTGCTCGACGCGGAGCAACGAGCCGTCGCCGAGGATTTCCCCGGGACAAACGAACGACTGCTTCGGCTCGGCCCGGAATTTACGGCTCTTTGTCTCCGCGAGGAGCACTCCTATTCGCGATAATAGATAGATCGAGAAGATTTATGCCTCGTCAGAATTTAAGAGAGCGAGATGGTAGCGCTCCGGACCCCGACGATAGCGATAGCCGTCCCGAGGAGAACACTATAAATTCAATTAAATAGTAACGGTAATATATTTCGTTATCCGGTGAGCCGGCAGTATTTTACTGGGAGAAACGGGTCGGGTCGGTCGAGATAGCCGTTCGAAACTTTATTAAATTTTTCCCCGGAGGTGAGGCGCGCCGTGGCGGACCGGAGAGAGTCGCGTCTCGGTTAATTCGGCTGAAAATCGCCGAGTTACTTCCCGCCAGAAGGATCGCGGATGTACCTTGATTAACGCGCTCTTAACGAGTCCGGCAACTTTATCGACGCTTCATTTACCAGCGGCGAGCGCACACTCGCTTCTAAACGGCGGCCATCCTATTGGTCCCGCGTTCGTTATCGGCGAATACGATTAATTCTTTTAAGCATTCCTAGCGCGGAGTTTATTAGGAGGATCTTCCTGCAAATTGCTATTAGCCCTATTAGCGGTTTTACATGCAAAGAGCTACACTGACTTGCACTCATATTTTCCTGCAATATCTCTTTGTATTATATGCTCTCGTGCGCTTTACTTTGCCATCTTTTTGTTCTACCGCATTACCGGCACTGTAATGATCGTGGTATATACATGTAATATTTATGATTATTAAGTTTAATTAAGTTTGTATTTAATTAAATTAATTTAATTATTATTATTTCATTTTTTATTTAGTTTTATTAATTTAATTTAATTTAATTAATTTATATATATACGGGTAAACACAAATTTTTACAATAACAGAACTGAAACATATCATATTTAGACTGAGAATCAGCGAATCAGCAAATTAGGTAAAGAGTTTACGAAAACTTGTTTTGAATTTTGCGACATTGGCTGCTAATATGTCTATTTTATCGTTGCTGTCGTTGACAAATTGAAATATCCTGTAAAAAGGGTGAATTTCCCTAAATCTCGATGAGTAGAATGTAAAAATTGTTTTTCGTCAATCAAATAAAGTCATTTAAATATTCGGATACCTTTTAAAACAGAACAACTGTTTCAAAACTAGAGAGAAATATCAAAATTTATCCCAATAAGAATTCATTCGAATAAGAATTTATTTATACAGAAATTCATTCGAATAAGAATTTATTTATACAGAAATATTCATACGGAAAATGGTTGATTCGAATAAAAATAATAGAATATAAAGTGTTTTCTCATAGTTTATCGATTTATTTCTTCTATATTGCTTTTTCGAGTTATTTGAATGATTGGATAATATGAAAATAACCATGATTTACCCAGCAGCAACCGCGCGTCCAGTGTATTTTCTTCTAGACTCCCTGAAATTCTCTGTTTCTTTCGATCAGGTGTTCTCGTTCTTTAATCAAACTTTTGTTCCTCGGCGCAGGTACACGAGAGACGTACACCAGCCGGAATTCCTGATACCGAAAAGAGTGTTCGAGGATGGCAAGTTCGCCACATACTCGCTGCCGAATTTCTACAACCGGGACGAGCTCAGCAGGAGAAAAAGGTCGTCGGGGACGGACTCCGGGGCCGATAAATTGCACCTGGTGCTGCCATTCAACGGGATCGAGCACCACGTGGAGCTCGACCCGCACCACGAATTCATCTCGCCAGACATGGTGATCGAGACGAGGGGCGCCGGCCTCAGGACTAACCTGAACGAGGCGATACGATTCAAAAGAGCCCCGGATCAGCAGTGCCATTATCGAGGTTTCGTCAGGGGCCACCGCGGATCCAAGGCTGCACTTTCTTTGTGCGACGGCGTGGTTCGTACCTCTTTATCAACCCTCGTCGTTCCTGTTTCGTTTCGTTTTAACCCTAGAAAGATAACCATATGACAACGTACGTAAAAGATAACCATACGCTTCAGAGGCGCATGCTTTTCTAAGGCGTCAATTTTCTACTAACAATGGATATTTATTTAAGTTAATCTAGTCATTTTAAAGGTTTGGCATTATTGTAAAAATAAAATGCATTTATATTATATTTTTTTATATTTTAAGTAATTTTAAACTTAAATCACTAGACCTCTATGAAAAATTAACAAAAATCAACAGTCTTCGCAGGCGCCTCTGCGACGTAGGTTATCTTTCTCGGGTTAAAGGGATACGAGGAGGATATGACGAAGTTGCGTCGAAATCAAAGAACTTTTCGTTTTCTATTTGCAAAGGTCGCATCAACAGCTTCAAGGTTATTTCAATTCAATTTCAAGGCTATGTCGAAATTATTAGAGAGAAGAGAGATCACAGAGAGAAATATCACAGAAATATAATATTACAGTGAATGACATAAGTTCTATAGTATCGATTGGCATGCGTGGTAATACAATTATATTTTATTGTACAGTGTGTCCTAAAATTAAGTTACTTCCGTGAAATGAGGGGTTTCTGAGGTCATTTGAATAAATTTTTTGCTTAGCGCAAATGCAATTCGCGGTTTTGTTCACGAGTTCACGTCTTTTTTATAATGTGCTATACATCACTTTCTATAAATTTTGACGCGCTGATTCCAAATCCGATCGCAAAATTTATTTACCACTCCAGGATTTTGAAAAAAAAGATCGATCTAAGTGGAAGACTAACGAAATCGTGATTTTTTAGTTGAAATAATTTCATAACCCTCTGATTTTCTTCCAGAATTCTGAGGCGATAGTTACATTTTGCGACCGTGTTTGAAATCAACGTGTCAAAATCTACGGAAAAAACATGTGATCAAAAAATAGAACTACATACGGTATTGGATAAGTCGCGATTTTATTGGAACATTTCAAGTTCGACATGAATTTTCAAGGACGAGAAATGTTCATACTACATTCTCCATAATTGTTCCTTATCCTGCAACTTTTCAGATTCAACGCAGAAAAATAAATCATTTCTTTCTCTCATTTCCATCAAAGGTTCTTTGATTTCGACACAACCTTCGGCTCGAATCTCCGACGAAATTCCAGGCGAATCGCGGAATTACACGTAGGCTCGATAAAATTACAATCGAACGATCCCAATTACTGGGACCGGTTGCCCGTGCAACATTCAACTCGGCTAGAACTAACGGCATAATTCATAACGAGTCCGCCTGCCTGCCCACCCACCGAGCACAAACAAGCCGAGCCTCGATAATTTCCTCGAAATTGTGGTGGTCCCGGCTCGACGAGCGGAGAGCAACAAGCACGCCGCGATGATATTCGCGAAAATTTACCGATTCGATAACGCGATACAAGGCAATTCGATCCGTTACGGTAGCTGGGTCGCGTTACTATTTCAATCGACGATGCACTTAACACTAGACACACGGTGTAGGCTTCGTGATTCTGCTACTGGAGGTCTCGAAACGCTTCTTCTCGTGCTTCCCATTTCGCTATTAAGAATCTCCCGATAATTTACATTAATTTATTTTAATTGAATTCATTTGTATATACGGCCAAACACCTATTTTTTTACGATAACGAGAACAAAAGTATGATTTACGTCGAATGGCGGAGAATCACTGAGTTATCACTGATTAATCACTGAAATATATTGATCTTTTCGCTATTATTGTTAATGAAACAGGCCCTGTAAAACGGGTCAGTCGAACTAAATCTCGACGGGTGCTGCGAGGGCATTTCTAATGAGCAAGGCTGACTTAGTAAAATGGGGTGAAGCATTAAAGTTTACAAGCGAAGTAACTCTAGGATTGTTTGAACTATCATGCACTACTTTGTACAGAAATTATAGATTTGCAATGATTCTTCTGGATTCAAGAGAGTTTGTGTTCATTGTGGATATCAGCGGAGCATAGTCTTATCCTAATCGCGAAAACGGTTGGTTAATTTTAAGGCGATAAAACGGAGAAGCTTATGTATAAAGCCTTTAATTTTTGTAGGTATTTTACAAGGCATTTTAAAGGTATTTTTTAAGGTATTTTTTACGGCATTCTTCAAGGTATTTTTGAAGATATCTTTCAAGGTACCTTCCAGAGTATTTTTCTAGATATTTTCAAGGTATTCTTTAAGGTATTTGTCAAGGTATTTTTCAATGTATTTTTCAAGGTATTCTTCAAGGTACTTTCAATGAATTTTTCGAAGTATTCTTTAAGGTATTTTAAAGTTATTTTTCAAGGTATTTTTCAAGATATTTTCCAAGCTATTCTTCAAGGTATTTTCAAGGTATTTTCAAGGTATTTTTCANAAGTATTTTCAATGTATTTTTCAAAGTATTCTTCAAGGTATTTTCAAGTTATTTTTCAAGGTATTCTTTAAGCTATTTTTCAAGGTATTTTTCAATATATTTTCCGAGGTATTTTTCAAGGTATTCTTCAAAGTATTCTTCAAAGTATTCTTCAAAGTATTCTTCAAGATATCTTTCAAGGTATTTTTCAAGATATTTTCCAAGGTATTTTTTAAAGTATTTTCAATGAATTTTTCAAAGTATTCTTCAAGGTATTTTCAAGTTATTTTTCAAGGTATTCTTTAATCTATTTTTCAAGGTATTTGTCAAGGTATTCTTCAAAATATTCTTCAAAGTATTCTTCGAAGTATTCTTCAAGGTATCTTTCAAATCATTTTTCAAGGTATTTTTTCGTTTTGACGACAATACACGAGAAAAACAACTATTTAAGCAACGTTAATTGCCACCTCGACCGAGGCTTGCTTATAGCCGCGATAATTGCGTTCTTTCGGCGGCCTCTTTCGATATCTTATTTATAATAACATTGATTAACGAGAACCCGATCAATGCGTGTGGATCGCGTGCAGGTCGGCTACGTGCAAACCGATCGTGGACGGTACTTCATTGAGCCGGCGAACGAAGCCGAACCGGAGCCCGATGGCCGCCATGTTCACATCGCCTATGAACGCAGCGTGGAGCACGAAGCCGCTGAAAAAGACGGGCATCCACCGAAGAAAGCTTGCGGAGTCAGCGGTTAGAGCCATCGCCCCGTTCTTCTCCTTATTCTGTAAGGTGGACGAAAGCTGGGAGTTCATTCTCGATGGAGTTATTTCGTCGATAGAGCGGCCCGACCTTTCGCAACCATTGAACTCGAGAGCAAATTGCTCGGCCAATCGATCGAAATAATTAGGACAGTTCGCGATTAGTCGTTCCCATCATTCGCGACGGCCTAGTTCAACTGGAACGGAGTGTCTAAGTTCTTCGATCTTGCGATAAAATATCGAATTAATAATGAATCTGGTATAGTTGAAGAGAGCACTGAACGAAAGAAACTTTGAACAGGGGTACAGTAAATTCTCCCTAATTGACGCTCAGATTGTGCACAAAAATGGACAGTTTTAGGAAGAAAGAATACGATTGTTCGAGCCTCGCGGCTCATTTTTATAATCCTCGTCCCGAATTATCTATTTTTGTGTACAATATGAGCGTCGATTAGAGTAAATTTACTGTACTGGGACTTCATCGAATCGGACATATTATATTCTGTGATTCTTTTCTTTGTTTATTTTTGAATTTAATGAAACTGAAAAAATAGAATATGTTTGATGACATTTTAAAATCTCAAGAGATATTAAGAAAGATAACATGATTTTCGAAGCAATAGGAATGAACGTATAAAAATATTTTATCACACATTTTATGTAGTCCCAAATTTTAATTCTATGTTTATCGAATAAGACATATTAAATTCTTTTATTCTTTAATTTGCTTAATTTTCGAATAAGGTTTATTTTCTTATTCCGTTTTTTTGTGAATAAAAAATGTATTCTTTATTTTGTTTATTTTCAAATAAAGAATATATTCTTTATTTCGTTTATTTTCGAACAAAGAATATATTCTTTACTCGTGAATAAAAAATGTATTCTTTATTCTGTTTATTTTCAAATAAAGAATATATTCTTTATTTTGTCTATTTTCGAATAAAAAATGTATTCTTCATTTTGTTTATTTTCGAATAAAACAATTCAGTATACCTTACTCGATAAGTATAAAGTATATTACGACCGGAAACAAACCAAAGACACAGCAATTGATCTACCCTAGTCAATGTTGAGGAGTTATGTTCTGCAGATTTTAGTCTAGAGTTAGCGCGTCTAGTTTCTGCTCGTGTCTGCTCGTAGTGCCGTAACTGAAAACCGTGGGGAAATATTGGCATTGTGCGAGTCAGACTCGCAGAGGTCCAGTGGAGCAAAGATCGCCAGCGAATGGTGTTCGCGACGGTACACGACGATTATGGCACTCCAGCGACTCGCTTCGCTCTCGGTGCCTCTCTTGGCTCTCGTTTCACCGAAACTTCCAGCGAGATCGACTAAACCGTAGGCGATTCCTTTCATACGTGAGATTCATGTGTGAGATTTCTGACAACTTCCTCTTTCTTGCAACCGAAGCGGCCCGTTTTCTTGCGCGCGCGCGAGTATCCGTGGTGGCCCGGCGATGACGATAATGATAACGATGATGATAACGCGACAGATAACTGGGAGATCGCGTGGGCGGAAGCGTTGGCCGAACGAGAGAAACGGTCGATGAAGGAAAAATCGTTGGTAGCGAAGAGGGCTGACAACCCTTATTCCGCGACTCACAGCATACATCGATTCCTGACGCTCGCGGTGGTCGCCGACAGGATGTTCCTCGATTACCACAACAACACCAACTACGAACAGTATCTGATGACGGTCATGAACATGGTGGCGGATTTTTACCACGACGCCAGCACCGGCAATCAAATCGACGTGATCCTCGTGCGGATGATTTATTTGGAGAAGGAGAAGGAGGAGGTAATGCGGAAACAGGGAAACCTGTTTCAGTTTACACGCTATTAAACGGGAAATGCGATCGTTAGACCGCGGATTTCACGCGTTTCTGGCCACAATGAGAAGGTGGCATACAAAACGGAAAAAAGGAACGCAAGAATTTAACATTTCACCCGCCGACAGCTTTTTAATAATATTTTTAAATCGAACATCAACGACTGAGAATTTCTTAAAATATTGTTCAGAACGGCGATTCTCTTTTTTGTAAGCAATATAACAAATTATTTCGCTTGATATAATGTAACATTATCTTTTGATGTTAACATTTGAAAGAGTATTGCCGAAGTAAAGAGATTGTTAATGGTAACGGCATATGATATACGTAGGCATAAACAGTGATATAATCATAAACTGTCATGTAGAGATGAATGAGGTACGAGTTTAATGAGTGACTGTGACGAATGAGCGTGCGAATGACAGTATGAATTCAGCCGTTGATGAGATAACACGATAATGATATAGACTAATAGATAATAGAAACGGTAGTAAATTAAGTACAGTTAAATTAAATGTTATCTAGTTATGGATAATGAACAGAGATAATTCGCTCATAAGCGATTGTCCTGTTAATTTTTCATCAACCTGACAGAGAAAACTCGGTCGTTAAAAAGTCTATTAACAGGCTTCTAGCACGTAAATACCGACGCATTGTAGTCTTGCTAAATAATTGAGACAGGAAACAATTTTCTACTTAATTTCTATCTCTTGCGATCGATGCAGAAATTGTTTATTCGACGCTAAACCCGCCGTGGTCTGAAAGTAACTAACGAAAGTTGCCTCATAAGATTTACGAGATAGACTTTATTGAAATTTTTCACAATTTTTATAATAGTGTAGGCCTGAGTAAAGAAATACAGTAAATTCTCCCTAATTTTCCTTCAGTCTGTAAACAAAAATGGACTATTTGGGAAGAGAAGATACGATTATTCGAGTTTTGCGTCCCGTTTTTATTGTTGTTGACAATCGGCAACTGTAAAAATATGCCGCGAGTCTCGATAATCGAATCTCCTCTTCCCAAATTGTCCATTTTTATGCGCAATCTGAGCGCGAATTAGGGAGAAATCTGAATCTATTTGTACTATCTATCGACATCTATTTGTACAGAATTAATACATTTTAAGTGTAATGATTGAAACATTATTGATTCTGAGTAGTATTCGAAACCTGAGGAACGAACAATGGTTATTGAAAATTACTCGGTTTCGTAAGTCTATCAGACATACGATAAATACGAATTTCGTGTTTCCATGTAACAATCTTATTAGCGACAAAGAAGGGCTGATCAACGCAGCCACGAAAGAAATCATACCATAAGATTCAGTATCGCCAAGATTAATTTAAAACCCCCAAAACCAGATCTGCGACATGAAAGCATCTGCAAAATCCCGCGTCGCCGCATAGTGGGGTGAAATGACAAAGTTATGTCAAAATCGGAGGACTTTTGATCGAAATCAGATGCAGCGATGCTATTCGCACCTCGTTTTTATAATTGTTGACAATCGGCAACTGTAAAAATAAGCCGCGAGTCTCGAATAATCGTATCTCCTCTTCCCAAATTGTCCATTTTTATGCGCAATGTGACCTCGAATTAGGGAGAAATTTCTGTATCAATCAGAATACAATCTTTCAAATTCAATAATTACGAAATCTAGTGAAATCGTTAAATTCGGCATGAAATTATGAAATTTAGTGTTAATAATACCGTGGTTGAATTACGTTCACGTGGCATCCCCGAGTATTTTACCACCACGCTCTTCCCGTAGATAGATTTGCGCATTACTCCCGCGGCCGAAGGGACGCTGGAGAATTTCTTGAAGTGGGTGGAGAAGCTGAAGCCCGCCGACGAGAACCACCCTAATCACTTCGACGCGGCTGTCCTCGTGACCAGGTCTCGCAATGTCCTTTCACCTTTCCGTTCCTATGACTATGCTAGAATTTCGTCAATTTGCTTGTGTCTCAGGCACGACATTTGCTCGCGTGGTACTAACTGCAACCTGCTGGGCCTGGCGTACGTGGGCACCGTCTGCGCGCCCAACAGAGCAGGCGCGATCAACGAAGACACCGGCCTTACCCTTGGCATCACGGTCGCTCACGAACTCGGTCATTCGTACGTCCTTTGAAACGACAGGTCCTCAGTAGTAACTTTCAGATCAGTCTTTGCACAATGGTAGATCTTCAAATACCAAATCTAGTCGACCCTTCTTTTGAAGAGAGACTGTTAATAGCTTTTTTTTAAAAAATGTACATGTAACTGATTATTTTTAAGTTACCATAATTATGATTAATAAAGATAGTAAATAATTGAATAAATCATTGAATTTCTTCCAGAGATATTGTATTCATTTCTATAATACTTTAAACGTTTTCACAAAAATTGAACGCATCATGTACATCGAACGAAAGCCCGGCATTTTTTACTAATTTTATTAATTCTAATTTAGGCAGCTGATTATTTTAAAGTTACCCGAATTAAAATTAATAAAATCAGTAAAAAATGCCTGCTAAAACTGCTATGTTCTATTTCTCAAAATTAAAGTAGAAGTAGGTACAATATTTCTGGAAAAAGTTCAATAATTTATTAATTTATTTGCTACATTTATTATATTATGGTTCACACTCAACCACACGTATACATCCAGAAAAAGAACGTTCGCGTTAAATATCTAAAAAGCTATTAAGGTCTACCATTGTACAAAGGCTGGCAAAAAGGCCAAGGTTAAAGCTGAGAACCTTCTCTTGTTGGACTTAGACACTCGACGGTAGCACCTTGAAATGTTGCAGGTTGGGCTGCGCCCACGACGAAGGCGGGCCGAACGCCTGCCCGCCGCAGGACTCCGACCAAAGCTACTATGTCATGTCGCCCTACATCTTTTTCTTCACGATCCGATGGTCCCCGTGCAGCACGAAATTCATGACCGAGCTCTTCAGGTTGATCGTTCGTAGATGTTAACGTTCTCGTGTACGCGTAACCAAAGTTTCCACCCTTCGCATCGATACGTTTCAGCGAGGGATTGGGCGACTGTCTGAGCAACAACCCGCGAAATCCGCCGGAGAACTTCAAGTTCCCGAACATGCTGCCCGGCGCGATGTACGACTCGGACTACCAGTGCAACATGGTTTTGCCCGGCTCGAAGCACTGTCTAGCTTCGGTACGGTTCAACTATGTTCTTTAACCTTTTAGGCACGACGCGCCACTATAGTGGCTTCCGCGGATATCATCTTTCAGAACGACACGCCACTATAGTGGCTTTCGCGGATGTCATCTCACTGGACGGCGCGCCACTATAGTGGCTTGCTCTAGTAGCTCACTCGCTCATCGTTTGAACCAAATAATCGTCTTTATATGCATTGTTTCACACTTCTTTTGTCTTCACATCGATTTACAACAGTCTACAGGGTGTCCCAAAAATGTCTCGCAATCCGGAAATGGCGGGTTCCTCGGATCATTTGAAGCAACTTCTTCCTTTACAAAAATGTTCTCCGAGGCACCGTTAACGAGTTATTAACGAAAAACAGTGACCAATAAGAATCGAGTACGGCTGACGCGAGGCGGCCCAGCCAACCAGCGCGCGAAGCCTAGTTCCACTCATTGGCTCGATCGCCTCGCGCCAGCTGAGCTCGCCTCTCATTGGTCACTGTTTTTCGTTAATAACTCGTTAACGGCGCCTCGGAGAAAATTTTTGTAAAGGAGAAAGTTGCTTCAAATGTTGCTTCAAATGGCCTGAGGAACTCGCCACTTTCGGATTTCGAGACATTTTTGGGACACCCTGTATATATAGTATCAGACTCTACCGTCCAGAGAAATAGCCTCGCGCAGAATTTAGACGTACCTAAAAGGTTAACCTTCCGCGAACCATGCAGGGTCAAATCAAGTTATGAGTCAAAGGTGGGAAAATTTTTAGGTTTTTTTCTTTCTTTTTCTTTTCAATCTCACAACTGTACTAAAATAACAATTATGAGCTTCATTCATTAATTTTCCCAAAAACATGCTTTCGAAAATATTTCTTGCAGATTTATCGATATGTCCGTTGTTCCTAGTGCAACAGTAATTTATTTCATTTAATTTGCGCGAAATTGAGTAATGAAGTAAACGATTTAAATAGCGTGAGTCAAAATTGACCCAGCCACCGCTATCCAGTGTCGATACGTTCCTTACCGCGTGTAGCACGGATGGTGCACGCTTGCTGGTTCATTTAATGCGTTAAGAAGATATTTTATAGCAAGTTTAGAACTGAGGAA